TGCGTGGGTGCGTGCGTGGGTGCGTGTGTGGGTGCGTGGGTGCGTGTGTGGGTGCGTGTGTGGGTGTGTGGGTGTGTGTGTGCGTGTGTGGGTGCGTGGGTGGGTGGGTGTGTGGGTGTGTGGGTGGGTGGGTGTGTGTGTGTGTGTGTGTGTGTGTGTTTGTGTGTGTGTATGCATGTGTATACATGTATATACATATATATATATATACATACATATGTACACATGTGTACATATATACATATATATGTGTGTACATGTTTGTGTTCAATATGTCTATGTACATACATGTATATATATATATATATATGTATGTATATGTATGTGTATATATATGTAGGTACATGCATGTGTGACATGCAAATATGTAAAGATGTATATAATATGTACATAAGAATAGGGGTTAATGTCAACCGCTTCATTGTGCAACCGGGGGACGGTAGTCGACCTTGTGCCCGCCAACCTCAGGTGACGGCCGGCGCTGACAGATGATGAGAGATCCAAAGATACGACCACGATACTCACCACGTGCCTTTGGTGGAAGTGACTGTGTCAGTCGAGCAACATGACCACGGATAAGCAGGTCCACGATCATGCCTAGGGACGAAGTCGCTCATGACCGCCACTCGACTCGAGCCCAGATACCTGGCTCCTGCCCTTAACACTACTCTAGGATGTAATGTCCAGTCGTCCAGCCTCTGGTAGCTCCCAGTCGACAGTCAAAGTCCTTTGTTGGGCCACGGCACGCTTCACACCGAGCTCGATCACGGTGCCAATGAACATGCCAGGCAAGGACAGTACCTTGTGGTCACACTGATTGGCGGCAGCTTCGAGATTCGAATTCTCAGCTGTTGTCGTGTGCTGGTGCCTTCCTAGTACGGCTTGCAAGTCCACGGCCACGGCCACGGCGAACACGTGCACATGCACTGCATGCTAAGCTAGACTATAGGCACCTATTCGGCAGCGCGCAGGCATGCCAAGCGCGCATTGGGCATTGGCAGGCCTTCATCCACCCTGGCAGCTTGTCAGCGATCCAGATGTACTCCTTAATGCTCTGGAATAAAACAGAAACGATTAATAGAAAAAGAAGTACATAAACCAGCGGATGGCATATGCGATGCCCAACTGCGCAAGCTGAAGCATGAAGCATCCAGGACTCCACGTCGACGTCTTTCTCGGCATCCCCATCCTGGTTTGTGCTCACATGGTGGCTGACGACGTGCTGGTAGTACCAGCACCTTGCGGCGAGTCTGCTTGGGTCTTGGGAGGTGAACAACGTTCATGCGCACGACAACGACTAGTCGTGCACCATTGTAATAATACTAAAGTGTCGACTGAGAGCTGCTCCTCCAAGCCATACACCTACTTCTACACAGCTACAGCAGCTACAGTCGGATCCTATAGCATCCCAGACCCCTCATCCCGAGGCTGCAACATCGAAGGTCCAACCAGGAAGAAGCCGGCAAACAGGCACAGCCGGTTGACCCATTCCTGCCATGCGACCACGATTGTTGCAACATCGCTGTTGTAACGTGGTTGGTAGTGGCAACACCCTGACATTTGGCCAAACAAGACACGGCATCCAGACACACCCAACAAACCCAGAACCGCTCCCTTCACAATACACAACGCTATCTCGGCTGGGCATCGTTCTTGCTGACTTGCTGGTGGCCGCCCTCATGGGAGAAACGAGTGCCAACGGTGGCGACAATGCATCCGGCAAGCAGGCCTGCAAGACACACCAATTTGACTCAGGCTTCTACGACTGCTCATGCGGAGTTTGCGTTTGCATGAGCGTCCATTGCTTGCATTCTGCTGGAGCGAATAACAGCGAATTCTACGATACGAGTGCCAGTCATCGTCAAGGCTGTTCACGCGCAAAGCCAACTTGCCAAACCATCCAAGGTGCTGGATAGGGGAGTCCGGACAACGAAAAACAGCCACATCCTTAGCAGCACAGTAAAACACAACCCCTGCATGCGAGACCACGCTCACAGATCCGTTGAAGCCCAAGCCCTAGGGTGTTTAGATCCCAACCAAAAGACCCTTTGCTTGGACTGATTTGTCGGCCCTCCCCCTCATGTAAGCCTTATGCTAATATAGATTCGCACTGCAGCATTCTCAAATTCTGCAGGCAAGCAAGGTGTCTCAATGTCTGGCCCTCCACATAAGAAGCGACACACTTCGGCAACCGTGGAGGGAAGCCCGCGTTGCCTACACGACACAGCCCGGGAGATGCTGCACACTCCCCGCGATCTAGAAAATCCAAGAGGCATGATGCACCACATGATCGACAGTCCCTTAGCACGAAGTGTCGATTGAACTATATCATCCAACGCTGATCTCGTGCCAGTGTTCCTAACCTGCAGCGGAGCCACTACGAACGCATGCGGGCGCATTCCTGGGCTTTGGCTCAAGTCACACAGCACAGTCGCAGGCCTACTCGCGGGTTGATATCGAAACTTGGCAGTATTCCTTTGCGCTGTGCGGCGTGTGCTGCCGCATCCACCGGGGAAGGCCTTCCGCACTCCTTCCTGGCTACGAGCAAACACCGGTTACATGCCATCCTGAAATCCCGCACTGTCTTTCGTGATTCCAAATCATAAGTCCCGGTGCATGCTTCGGGCCTTGATCTCCTCATAGAAAGGATCTGGGGCTGGCGGAGCCACCCCATGAGCCTTGAGAACCTTCCTGTGCTTGTCGTTCCAGGGATGATACCTCGGAGGCAGATCGGCGAGGCGAGACTCTTCCCGCTTGGATGTAAGGACCACATGCAATCCTTCTCAGCTCCTCTGCCCAAGGCTCCGGCGATTCAAAAAGGGCGGTGCAGTCACGGCCACGCCCTGCGCGAGGCGAAGGCACGGCGCAGCTGCAAACTGAAGCAATTGAACCCTCAAGCTGAGCGAGCATAAATTCACCTTAGAGCGAAAGTACCAATCTCCCACAACCACCAAAGGACCCAGCTGCACAGCTGTCTACGTGGCACGACTGAAAGCAAACTCGTCTAACACCGGAGATATCGACTAAGCCAGGCATAATGAGCATGTGGACAAGCGTGCCGTTTTTCCTCCCAGTCTGTAGTGATGCAGCAAAGCATGAAGCGTGGCATCGCAAGCACGCGCTCGCCTGTCAGGATAGCAAAGCGTCCTCCCGGATGCTTGTCCACGAAATCATGCCTGGGACTGCGGCAAGACTACCGCAAGCTCATCGAGAGCATCGGCAGCTCATTTCAAATCATGGCGCAGGTCGTAAGAGTTGCCGTGGATGTACCACAGATTTGGATCGAGGGTGACAAGCTTCTGGTCCTCCTGGTGCTGCAGATGCTGCAAACAACTGCAATGCCCAAGCCTGGGCACGGCAAGCAGCACTCTAGTAGCTACCAGGATTGGAGCAACAGAGACCCCCCTCCGAGAAGCCTGAATATGCCTGAGTTATCCTGAAGCTGCTGCAAGCCTCCCGACCCCAACTGGAGCACAACCGGACATTGGGCATTTTGCCTTGGACGTTGACTCGCTGGGAGAGTCAGAGGCGCGCGTGGAGTCTGGAGAGTCGGAACGAGCACCTAGGCTTCAAATTGGCTTGTTTTTATAAAGAAAGATACAAACAAACAGACACACACGCACACAGACAGACACACACACACACATGCGCGCGCGTGTTGCACTCTGCCCGACGTTGATGCAAAATTGTAATATTCCGAACATTTCTCCTCTTCGTCGTTTGGATGAAGCGCTGTCTCATGCCATTCGGCGGCGACGAAACAGGCTGGAAGGACGCCGGGCGCATTCTGCACCCGGCCCCCTTTCGCTCGCCGTCCGCGAAAAGGTGTTCAAAAGGGTGGAGAGGTTGGGCAAAAGCTTCCAAGCGCCGAGCCCGAGTGCTATCAGCGGTCACCGTTTCCGCGTGTTACCGCGCAGATATGTGTGTTACACCACACACACAGGGGAACGAACGGAAAAGCCAACTAAGATCATGTACCCATGTCTCCACGCAGACGACACAGGCAGAGAGAGAGGGAGACAGGCAGGCAAGCAGGCAGGCAGACAGACAGACACTGACAAATACAAACAGACGCAGACTAGACAGACACCGACAGGCAGAAAGACAGACAGACAGACAGACTGTCTGACTGACTCTCTGACAGACTGACAGAGTGACAACAGACAGACAGAGACCGGCGGGCAGACAGACGCGCAATCACCATGGTTGCACTGGAAGGCTCTGTGACAAGGTCAGCTGTGGAAAAGAGAAAGACTAATAAGCCGCTGCCAATTGCAGCAACACACTCTCAACTCTCTGTGCCAAAGCGAGCGAGCCACTCTTGGCGGCATTCTTTCGCACCATCTTTGAGATTGGTGTTTCACTGATGCTCGCTTGAGCGCTGGTTGGCCGTGTTATGCTCCAAGCTCGAGCCGAGATCACGGCGAAAGGCGAGCGGACGGACTCATGCATGGACATCACAGCCGCTTCCCTATTCGTTAGATTAAAGCCTGAGTCTGCTTAGGTCGCGTGATTCTGGCAACTCGCGCGACACTTGCATGCCCAAGGCTCTTTGCTTTCATCTTCGCCTTTGCCTTCCTGCCCAGTCCCGAGTCAGGATCCACCTCGCCTATGACTTGATTATAAAAAAAACGCTGGGTTGCGGGCCAATAGCTCAGCAGGGGAAGAACCATCTTAACGTGAACGCGCACAGGCTACCCCTCCTCGAAGGCATCTTCTTCGCATTCACTGCATCACCGCCATCTTTTTGGCTACTTTGGCCATCCTGCTCGCCAAGCTTGCTCTGGAAACTCTGCAAAAACCTGTACAGAGCCTGTGGGAAGCTCAGCAGTAAAACAGAACCCACCTTGGCGGGCGCCAATGCCTGCCGCTTGCGAGCCAGCGAGGCTAGAAGCGGCAGCAGTGGCTGGCCTGCAGATGCTAGCGGTTCTGTCGGATGGGCGTCGATGCTTTCGCGCACTCTCCCAGGACTCATCGAGCTATGCGACTCACAGCTCGATTCGAGAAAACTATGTGAGCTGCTTGAACCGCGCTTGCAAAATGCAGAACAGCTCAGGTGTTGAAACCACGAGACAGATGTCTTCACACAAACCGTCACAAACCCCGAAAGTCGCAAAGCTAAGTCGTTCGTACTGCGCGCCACTGCGCGCATAAGCCATTCCCTTTCTTTACCAACAGGCCTGCGCCCCCGCCTGTATCAGACGACATGATGCCCTGCAGACCCACAGAAAAAGATGCTGGTAATATGCTGGGCTTCTGCGAACTAGAAACGGGCTGCAATCCGTTTTGGGCAGCACACTCACGTGGATTCTGAATCTTACCTATACCAATACCGTTGGGGCATTGCGTGTACTCTTTCCCACTCAGGGCTTGCAGACGTTGCTTTAGACTTCAGATACGGAGCCAAGCGGCATGCAGCTACACTTGGGCACAAGGCTGTCTGCGATATCTGGTCCCGGTTCAAAACGGCACCTTTTCCAGATGAGTGTTGCTGAACTCCGTTCCTGCTATTTCAACCTTGCGTCGGACCTGGGGCTCTGGATTGCTGCCAGCCAGGCACTGGCTCATTCAACACAAGCAAACTTCCTTCCAGCTGTGTCATGGGCATGCGTCAAGACGGCATCGCATCGCACTACTATGCTAATATCGGTGGGAGCCGGCCTCATGCAGAGGTAAATACTACTGAACTACTGGCTACTGCACCAACCCGGTCGGCAACAATACACTACAGAGCTTCGACCTCGCATTTGTTCTTCCGCGGCATTCAGGACGAGCGCCAGACATGGGACAGCCACGAGTTCAGCTATCAGCCATTGGCGCATCCGCACTGATTGATGCCTCCTCTTAGAGGAATGCACGAGAGGACATGCGAAATTTATTCTTTGTAACGTGAAAAGCACACCAGTGCTTTTGTGTTAAACATCTCGAAGTGAAGCCAGAGCGAAGTACACCAGTGCCTTCTGATTGTCATTTGTCAAACATGTCGCTCATGAGATATCGGACTGCAGAATCCATGCCGCTTGCTTGCACTTGAACGGCTCTGACCCTTTTTGAAGGGTGACAAAAGACTAAAGATCTCTCGATACTATGTGGCAGCTGCAGTGCCCAACGTGCGCTGCCGGCGACTTTGAGCTGACCTGTGCAGATCAGATGACACCACTGAATAGGCGAATGATGGCCAGAACCGAAGGCCATGCCACCTCTGGCAGCTCTAGACAATCAGCTTTCCCCGCAGCGAGTGGCCTGGGGCGGCACCACTTTGGCAGCTCAGCTTGGTTGCGCGGCATCGGCTTCTCGCCAAACCTTTCGGGCCGACAACACGTCGGCAACCCCAAGAAGTGATCGGCAATCTCTCCGGTTCTTAGAACGCCCTCCGACCAACTGCAGCACAGGATGCTCGAGCTGTAGCTGATGACCGTGCAGCTTTGCTCGTTGGTAGTGTCGCTCCAAGGCGAGCCGAGCGCCATCTCCGTCGCACTTCTTCATCTCCTGACACTTTTTTTATGCGTTTCACGCCCTTCGAAACAGCTACCTGGCCCACGACGTGCTCCTCCACCATCAGCAAGGATTTCCTCGGCGGGCCAGGTAGAGTTTTGCATCTTCGTGCGGTCCACACACTGGAGATCCAGGCTACTGCAGACTGGCATCTGCCACTTCTTCTGCGTAAGAAACCCCAGCCATTCATCCGGCTTCAAACCAAGGTCCCGCCAGGTCAGGCGATGCGAGTCCTCCACGAACGACTGTTTCGCGTTGCTTGCTTTCTTTTCGATCTGTGAAATGTATTCCAAGCGAGCAAAGGTGAGACCTGACCTTGTACACGATTCTTGGAAGACGTCGTTCTTGTGGTTTGCAGGTTCCATGTCGGGGCTCAAACGAAATGGTGCAAAATGGTGCAAAGCCTGTTCCGGTTCTTCCGGCGCCTTAAATTCGCGGCCCCGGCCGAAGCGGTTAGAAGTTCCAAAGATTCCTTGTTTCCCCCCACGCCCCTTCCCTCTGCCCCCCCCCCCTCCTCGCGCAGCTGAGCAATTTGTCGACCCTCTTTATTTCGGCCGGGCCGAGGCGGACGACGCGAAGCGTTTACACTTAATCAAGGCCCATTAAATAGTCCCTGCTGTCTGGGTGTCCGTCCTTCTTGGGCAAGGCTTCGAAAAGCCGGCGTGCATCAGTGTTCCTGCAATATCCTCGCAGGAACCGCAGAGCTTCCGGACCCTTGATACAACGACACTTACTGTGGAAGCAGCCGGCAAAGGGCCAGAATCCAGAAACGATTAAATTGTCCATTTGTAAAGTTCCCTTCCCCCTTTAGCGCTCGCCAACCTTCTCCTGTGCTCTTGCTTTCTCTCTCTCTCTCTCTCTCTCTGTCTCTGTCTCTCTCTCTCTCTGTCTCTCGCTCTCCCTCTCTCACCCCTCTCTGACCTGCTTCCGGTATGGGACAGGGAAGGGACCCCTGCCCCCACGAGTGCGCCCCCACGTGTTGTGGGGCCAAGAGTGAACAACAGAACCGGCAAACCCGTCTCCGGTGATGCCAAGGCAGCCGCGAACACCCTTCTCCAAACGGCTCAAGACTGTCCTGGGCAGAAACTTCGCGATGACGGGACGAGGAACCGGGCAACGCCCGAAATGCAAACAAGAGATGAAGGCATGTGCGTTGCAAGCAACTGCAATGTAGTGAGAAATCAAGCTATAATAACAGTAAAGCTAAAGTACAGCTAAAGCTTTCAAGTTGGCCTCTGCCCTTTCCGAGACGAGATGAAGCGCAGGGCCCATTCCCCAAACAGTTGTTGTGAATAGACCACTGTGAGATGATCCTAGTTCCTAGGACTACGGGCGGGCTGAGAGCACACTGCATGCCCCCTCTCTTAAGATGGCAGAACAACCAAGTTCGCAGTGACTCTTAAGTCTCGACATGGGGTTCTCTCCAGTCCGAAGAAAAAATATTATATATATATATA